CACAGGTGGGGGTGGGCCCGGAGATAAAAGCACTCACCTGCAACTGACCAAGGAGGCTGAAGAGTTGGAGGAAGTCCAACTTCAGCAGCTCAGATTGCTGTTTGGGGATGTCATTGGTGCCGATGTGGATGATGAGGTTTGCAGAATAGATTCATTTCTTTTGGTTTTTTTCCGGTTGGCTCTTGTTGGGTTGGCTTGTTTTTATTGCTAGAGATTGCTTAGTGGGAACTTCTTTTCCACTATGTTGCACTAATCGGTTGTTCTCTATCACTACAGATTTTACTGTCAAATTAGATGCATCTACTTTCTGCTTCCTGATGATAACCATATTCGCTATCAAAGGCCTTTAATTGCTGTTAGTTCCTTCTTTGTCTCGTATCTCAGCATGTTTTCAATGAAATGTAAATGTTATATGCTTTGTCTTCTAGGTATCTTTTTTGAAATTAGTAATTTCAGTTGGAGCCGTCGCTAAATTATACCTGGGTCTAGTAGCTTATTTCTCTTGTTTGGTTTGGTTTCGCCTTACATATCACCGCCTTTACCCAGGGGATGCCATACCCTGCATCTATGGACTTCCTAAAATCCACAAGGAAGCTGTCCCACTCAGACCCATAGTCAGTAGCATAAACTCAGCCACTTATAACATTGCTAAACACCTTGCTACCATCCTTGCTCCTCTCGTGGGGAACACCCCACACCACATCAAGAACTCCACCGACTTCACTGACAAGGTCCAGAAACTTACCCTGGATCCAGATGAAACCATGGTGTCCTTTGATGTAGTCTCTCTCTTCACTTGCATACCCACCACGGAGGCCGTGGAGACTGTCAGAAAACGACTACAAGAAGACAGCTCCTTGGAGGACAGGACCAACTTCACACCCGATCAGATTTGCACACTGTTAGACCTCTGCCTCACCACTACATATTTCAAATACAACGAAGGTCCCCCGGCTGTGCACCTATTGCAGCCAACCTTTACATGGAGGAAGTGGAAAGGAAGGCTCTTGGCTCTTTCAAAGGAAGAGTACCTCTTTTTTATTTTATTCCATCATATAAACTAGACCTGATCTGATTTACAGTCTCCAAGATGAAGCTTGAGAATGCCCTTATTGTGCAGTTGCACCCAGTAGTAAAACTCATCTGCATTGCATGGATTTTACTATTATAGGGTACATTATCATAGTAGTGGTTAGTCAGGGGAAAGAGCTTATATGGATGATTACTAAATGGCCAGAATCCATAAAGATGAACTGTTTCACATAATTCCAAAGCCAGACTAATCATATATAGTTCTCCAGTTCGTCTTAGTTCTCTCTAAGTTCCTTTGAGTACTCTTTCCCTGACGTATTGTCCTCTAGAATTTTGTCCATACTTATGTTATAGTATTTTTTTTATGCAGGGTTTGTGGTAAGAATTTGGTTTGGATAGGAATTTTTCCATCGTTCTTCCAATGGCATATTTCACATTTCTCCGCTGTCTTCAATGCTGCTGCAATTGTTTATATTTCGAATACCACTTAGAAGAAGAATTGCAAGGAGAAGGTTAGCAGGTTGAGATTGTCTCCATAACTGTTGGTAGATCTTGTTTTTTGTTCTATTCTATCAAACGCCCGTCGACGTGCCATCAGTGACCCATACCTGCAAATTAATATATTAGTTAAAGAAACAAGACAAAACTGACAGGTCACTTCAATGTTAGAGTCACTCTTGGCTCACTTCTTTGTTAAGATGCTTGGGTTTGCTGTCACAAGGTTAGTCTTCATGCCAACATCACTCTTAAATTCATTTTCCAGAGGAGGAAGGTTGCACCTGAAAAAACAACAAAATATTACTTACAGAGAGAAGAGTCCTCATCATGATTTTTGTTCTTGACATCTTTCTCACCTAATAACAAAATCAGCTGAATCAATCATTTTTCCACAGCCGCTGTTTGTCAGAATCCCACCGTTCCCAACAACTGAACAAGTGTCCCATCTCTTTTTTGAGAAAGGATTCTCCTGGAATTGACACCAACAGATTATAAATTAAAAAAGAGCAAAATTTAAAAAGTTTGAAATGTACTTTGTGTGAAAGACAAGTGCTCACTGAATTTAATGGAAGATGGCAAACATGTAGGAAGAGGTCAGTGATAAGGTTATCACGTTAAAACTTTTAGAGAAATGTATAGACCTGTTTAATCCGATGCCTTTAAAACATTAGAACTGGATTATCAGTTACTTGGAATTGAAATCTTTCATGATATCATTATATATGTGATATTACATATACGGTGGTTAGTTCTAGTTACTGTGCAAACCCTTTTGTTATTGAAAACAAAACATGAAAACATTCATGAGGTCCCTGTTATCAAAATCTGTTTTGAAAATCAGTCTCTTTTTAAGTCCAAATGAATCTTTGGCCCAGTATTTGTGAATCTCTCCTAGAATAGAAGGAGACAATAAGTGTAGGGCATACTTGAAAGTTGAAGTTTAAAATGATAGATAAAACAAGAAGCACTCTGACACCACAAACCAAGGCAACCTACCTTCTGTGCAGTGTTTACTTTCAACAGAATAGTACTGGATATTGTATATATTAGTTTTGTTTTTGTTTGTTTTGTACTGCAGTAAAACTTAGATTAGGATTACATGACAGATGTTTATGTGGATTTTATTTTTACACAAACATTATTTAAGAGTAGGTAAATCGATAATAAACTGATAATGTAAATATCTGTATAATAAATTGAGCTTGTTAAATATTATTGTGCCACAGTAAATTTCTAAATACGTCAGCTAATTCTTTACATTCGTTCTGTTAAAGATTTTAGGTCAATTTGAAAGAGAAGCAGATGTGAAATGTAAAGGTTAGGTCAAATGATATTTGGAAACTATAATCCCCATATACCAATATCACTTCCTAAATGTTGCAAGTGCAAACACAAGCAGTTAGTTTTCAAGAAAAAATCCACTTTATACAAGTTTGACCTTATTTGAGCTTGAAGAAGGAGTCAAAGGTCCAAACTAATGTGAAACTTAGTGAAACCCCCATATAATTCCTTACATGGGGCGATCAAGGCTCAAGAGTTGGCAGTTTGTCTTGTAATCGGAAGGTTGCCCCTGCTCAGACAGTGTTGGTCGTTGTGTCCTTGGGCAAGACACTTCACCTGTTGCCTACTGGTGGTGGTCAGAGGGCGCCGTGTTTTTGTTTTTTGTTGTTTTTGTTTTTTTGTTGTTTTTTTTTTTGATTTTTTTATTTATTTGTTCTTTTTATTTTTTTTTTTTTTTTTTTTTTTTATTTTTTTTTTTTTTTTTTTTTTTTTTTTTTTTTTTTTTATTTTTTTTTTTTTTTTTTTTTCTTCTGTTGTTTTTTTTTTTTTTTTTTTTTTTTTTTTTTTTTTTTTTTTTTTTTTTTTTTTTTTTTTTTTTTTTTTTTTTTTTTTTTTTTTTTTTTTTTTTTTTTATTTTCTTTTTTTTTTTTTTTTTTTTTTTTTTTTTTTTTTTTTTATTTTTTGTTTTTTTTTGTGTTGTTTGTTTCTTTTTTTATTTTGGATTTTTTTTTTATTTTTTTTATTTTTTTTTTTTTTTTGGTTTTTGTTTTTTTTTTTTTTTTGTTTTTTTATATTTGTGTTTTTTTTGTGTGGGGCCGGCCGGCGGCGGGCGGGGGGGGGGGGGGGGGGCGTTGTTTTTCAAGTTTTCAACCAATAAATCATTAACTTAGACTTGGAGACCTTGGTGGATTTTTTTAATATACTGACAAATTTGTAGGTGGCTGTGGCTCAGGTGCTAGAGCAGATCAGCTACTGATCGGAAGTTTGGTGGTTCGATCCTAAGCTTCCCCAGTCTGAATGTCAAGTGTCCTTGGGCAAGATAATAACCCCAAATTGCCCTCCGATGCGTTCATCGGAGTGTGACTGTGTGTGAATGTACTGTGTGCTGTGTGCACTTGCGTTTAGAAGTGCTTGCATGAGTGGGTGTGAATGAGGCATGTTGTATACAGTGGAGAGTAAAAAAGCGCTATATAAGAATCAGTCCATTTACAAATATTAAAATGTATTTTACAATTAAATAGACAAACTGCCAACTCTTGAGCCTTGATCGCCCCATGTAAGGAATTATATGGGGGTTTCACTAAGTTTCACATTAGTTTGGACCTTTGACTCCTTCTTCAAGCTCAAATAAGGTCAAACTTGTATAAAGTGGATTTTTTCTTGAAAACTAACTGCTTGTGTTTGCACTTGCAACATTTAGGAAGTGATATTGGTATATGGGGATTATAGTTTCCAAATATCATTTGACCTAACCTTTACATTTCACATCTGCTTCTCTTTCAAATTGACCTAAAATCTTTAACAGAACGAATGTAAAGAATTAGCTGACGTATTTAGAAATTTACTGTGGCACAATAATATTTAACAAGCTCAATTTATTATACAGATATTTACATTATCAGTTTATTATCGATTTACCTACTCTTAAATAATGTTTGTGTAAAAATAAAATCCACATAAACATCTGTCATGTAATCCTAATCTAAGTTTTACTGCAGTACAAAACAAACAAAAACAAAACTAATATATACAATATCCAGTACTATTCTGTTGAAAGTAAACACTGCACAGAAGGTAGGTTGCCTTGGTTTGTGGTGTCAGAGTGCTTCTTGTTTTATCTATCATTTTAAACTTCAACTTTCAAGTATGCCCTACACTTATTGTCTCCTTCTATTCTAGGAGAGATTCACAAATACTGGGCCAAAGATTCATTTGGACTTATAAAAGAGACTGATTTTCAAAACAGATTTTGATAACAGGGACCTCATGAATGTTTTCATGTTTTTTTCATGTTTTCAATAACAAAAGGGTTTGCACAGTAACTAGAACTAACCACCGTATATGTAATATCACATATATAATGATATCATGAAAGATTTCAATTCCAAGTAACTGATAATCCAGTTCTAATGTTTTAAAGGCATCGGATTAAACAGGTCTATACATTTCTCTAAAAGTTTTAACGTGATAACCTTATCACTGACCTCTTCCTACATGTTTGCCATCTTCCATTAAATTCAGTGAGCACTTGTCTTTCACACAAAGTACATTTCAAACTTTTTAAATTTTGCTCTTTTTTAATTTATAATCTGTTGGTGTCAATTCCAGGAGAATCCTTTCTCAAAAAAGAGATGGGACACTTGTTCAGTTGTTGGGAACGGTGGGATTCTGACAAACAGCGGCTGTGGAAAAATGATTGATTCAGCTGATTTTGTTATTAGGTGAGAAAGATGTCAAGAACAAAAATCATGATGAGGACTCTTCTCTCTGTAAGTAATATTTTGTTGTTTTTTTCAGGTGCAACCTTCCTCCTCTGGAAAATGAATTTAAGAGTGATGTTGGCATGAAGACTAACCTTGTGACAGCAAACCCAAGCATCTTAACAAAGAAGTGAGCCAAGAGTGACTCTAACATTGAAGTGACCTGTTAGTTTTGTCTTGTTTCTTTAACTAATATATTAATTTGCAGGTATGGGTCACTGATGGCACGTCGACGGGCGTTTGTAGACAGTCTCCACCAGTATGGCAACTCCCTGCTCCTCTTCCCTTGCTTCTCTTCTAGTGGTAGTCGTGCAGTGTGTCAGCGGGCTGTGTATGCCATTGAAGACATGGAAATTCCTATCCAACCAATCTTCACAAACCCTCAGTACTTACAAAGTATGGACAAATTCTGGAAATCTCAGGGGGTAAAGGGACTTCGGGCTAGCACTGGAGCTTATATGATTAGTCTGGCTTTGGAATTATGTGAAACAGTTCATCTTTATGGATTCTGGCCATTTAGTAATCATCCATATAAGCTCTTTCCCCTGACTAACCACTACTTAGCTAGTGAGTGTAAGAGGCAGATCTCAGGATGAAACAAGGAGCATCCACAAAGTTATTAATACAGATGAATTGCTGAAAAAGTACTCTAGGCAGCTAATTTCAGAAGACACTAAAGAATTATATTTGATTTAATCCATTAAGGGTAAAGGTCCCTGTTTATCAAAGATTTAATATGTGACTAAACATGTGATTTCAACACATGGGGATATCATGTTGGAACATTTGATGAATAACGAAGACCTGAAATTAAGAAGAAAAAATTAAGAATTTAAGAAAAACATACTTTTATTAAGATCTTGAAAAGCTCTGGAGTCACAGGGATGACGGTTCTGTCCCTGTCACAAACAATCTTAGATCCCACTGGAGTGTTTTCCTGAGTGACAATGGCATTGTTGGATCCATCGCAATTAATTCTCACCTGTAATCTTGAAAAAACAAACAAACAAATAGGACCCGACAAAAAATAAATAAATAAAGTTAGCTTTAGTATTAAGTGGAAAGATTTGCAATCTTTAGAGTAAAATACAATGTATCTGTTTTGTCATTGTCATTTCTGCTAATTCTATATAAAAGGCTTTTATTTTATTAAAAACACTATAATGTGAGACATTAAACAGATGGTGGGACTCCTTGTCCTTATCTTGGCACAACATGTAATTAAACCCACTTCAAAACGACACTCACCAGGTGTTTGCAGTTTCTTTAAAACTTCCACGACAGAAGTTTCAATGTATGAAAGGATGATGACCGAAAGCACACTGCAAAAGTGATCCAAGAGTTTCTCAAGGCAAAGAAATTGATCTCAGCCCACTTAAAAGTTATTAAATGAAAAATTGATGCAGAAGTGGAGAAGTGGTTTCTCTGGCACAAACTGCCATACAGGACACTAGCTTGTTAGACAACTGCTGATCACCACAGGCCTACTGTGGCACTATGTTAAAGACAGAGACGTGAAAATAGTAGCCCCCCATTTTATTTTATGCTCAAAGACACTTTCTTTTAGTAAGGCCACTGTAATGTCAGTTTTACTGTTATATAAGTTCCTCCAGCAGAGGGCGCTCAGTCCGTACGCATTGGTAGCTGACTCTACACTAGAAGAAGTAGTGTCAGCGGTGGAGAGGCAGGATACGGCCTGCGCACCGAAAGAACTGATTAATCAAACAAGAGCCACCATCCAGCGCAAATTCCTCCGCTCCATTGAAACTGGGCTGCTCAGTGACTCTTATCAAGTATCAGCTACTGTCCCTCCTAAACGACATAACCATAAAAAATGAAGAACTGATTGAGAAAGTCAATGAAGCTTCAAAGCTAGACAATGAAAGGTTTGAGAAACGAAAACGTCCGCTGCAGCCAAGATTCCCAAGGTCCAAGAGCTCCAAACAGAATGCCAAAGAGCCCTGACATCTCCTCAGAGCCCCTCCAAACCCAGAGAATCCCCCGCTACAGTGGCCATGACAACAGTGAAAAATAAAGAGACTAAGTCAGACACGCAGCAGATTATAGAAGAACTACATAAAGAGATGAAACAAATGTTTATGGCTGCTATGGAAACCAGTCCCCACACCATGGCACCAATACAACGAAAAAAGGGCTGTAAAAAGTACATAGAAGAGGGGAAAGGGGAGAACTGCATGCACTGTTTCAAATGTGGGCGAGAGGGCCACTACTCCCGTGGATGCCGACTGTCATCGGGAAACGGGGAGGGACAACAGTAGTCCAAAGCCCACGGTCCCATTACGAACAGCCAAGCTCACCAACATCCTCCAAAGAAACTGCAGCTGGTGTCCCATCAGCTGTAACTGAGGTTTACTATCTACCCCCTCAACAAAAGTCACGGTTAGTTAGCCTGGTGGGAAACTGATGTACTGTGAACTGTTTTATGGACAATCACCCAGCCAAGGTGTTATGGGATTCAGGGGCACAGTCCAGCATAGTAAATGAAAACTGGCGGCAAAACCACCTCCCTCACACAGTCGTCAGACCCGTTTCAGAGCTGTTAGACAATGAGACGCTCACAGTGTTTGCTGCAAATGACACACCCATTCCCTGCATTGGCTGGATACAAGCCATCTTCAGATTAGGCAGGGATTTGTCTCCAAGCAGTGAGCTGCAAGTTCCAATATTGGTATCCAGTGACCCGGCTGTGGCCAGTGATCCCATCATCGGCTACAATGTCATTGAAGCTATTGTGAACCAGGAAGAAGTAAAAACCAAAGGAGGAAGAAAACAGCTAGCACACTATGTGAGAAAAGCATTTCAAATAACTGTACGCACTGCACATAATGTTGACAAGCTTGTGCAGAACAGAAGTGAATGCCCAGAGACAGGTGTGGTAAGGTAAGGATTGGCATAAGAAGAGTGCCTTTGTCAGCTAACCAAGTCACCACAGTTTATGTGCGGGCACACATTAGTTCACATGCCCGGGGCCAAGACATGCTCTTTCTACCTGATGGGGCTGACCCACCACCAGAGGGCGTAATATTCAATGATGTAATGGTGAAAATCCCAGACAGAAAAGTACCATATGTGCCCATCCCTGTGACTTACACTACAGACCACACCATTTATCTGGAGAGCCGTAAAGTGATTGGACAGAAGCCCCTTCTCTGAGGAATTTGTGGGGGATGGTTTGCCTGGACTGCTGATGGTACCAGAAGGTACACTTTCCTTTTCCTTCCCCCCTCCCTATCTCTGTATGCAGAACATAATTTTATCTCTTATTTGTTTCTCACAGTTTTGAGCTTCACCGACCATATCCTCAAAGAAGTGCCCCAAAGCCCTCTGAACTTTGTAAAGGCTGCAAGTAAGAGCAAACATTGCCATGACTTGTTCATTAAGAAGTTACAATTTTTATGTCAAGATTAAGTCATGTAAGCCCCCTGCAGGAAGGAGTAGGTCTAAGGAGCTTGGAAAGAAAAGTGTCAGAACTTCTTTATTTTTCTTGAAGACGTCAACATGGTCAACATGACCCCCCTTGGGGGACACTGCCACCACATCCACCATTTGCTCTTTGAACTGAAGAAGCTTCTCAGGTGAGAGGTGAAACGTCTTAAAGGAAAATTTTAAAAGTCCAGACGCTTTTCTTTTCAAGCTCCTTAGACTATGATGACCTGGATGACTGAGAACCTTCACAGACACCCAGTGCAGGAAGGTTACTAAATGTACTGGAATGCTTGTGCATTACAGGGAAGTCATTGATGAAGTGAAAAAGCTCTACAATCAAACGTGGAAAAAGCATGAGGAGAATTACCAAAGATTCAAGTAAGACCTAACATCCTGATATTATTGATTGATCGTTGAGTTTTATTTTTATGTGAATTTCTGGTTAATAATAACTAAATAAATAAAAATTGTCTGAAGCTAGTATATGAGTACGAGCATGGAAGATGGCAGACTACAGGAAACAGCTGCTATTTATCCTCGAATGCAGATGAGGCAGGATTACTCCTAAAGGTCTTTAAACAAGCTCTTCAGTCAAGGCTAAGAGCCATTTGCTAAACGAACCGGCTAAACAAATTTTCCCGTCAATACTAGTTTTAGTTAAGAAGACACGTGAAAAGGGGACCTTTGACCAGCCCACAATTAAAAGTCTAAGACCAGCCAGAAAGAAATAAAGGTTTGGTTCACTTGTTTAGCAGACTCACACTCAGGATGTGTACAAGTGGGTGGAAAAATTGTCTGAGAGGCAACTAAATCAAGTAGAGAAAATTCTCTTGCAAAAATGTTGAACTTTGCTGTGATGTAGAGACAAATTCCACTAGTGGAGCTGATCGCAACCACAGATTCAGAAATCTGAACCAACACTGTGGATGTGGACGCAGAGCAACTGCGAATGATGGTTTTGGCCTCCTCAGCAATGCAAATGTTCCAGCATCCATGGAGGAGAGGAAGGCGGTCGTGTCTCTTAGTGAGGACAACATAATCGTCATCTGACAGACAAGAGCGGGCCCAAGGTTTTACAAAATTGTTGGGTTTCTGAGAAAGAAGACAAATAAGTATATTTTATTACATTTATTAAGCAATTCAAGGTTCAAGGTTAAAACGGCTGCCTTGTCTGTGCTCACTCAGGAGACCCAAATGAACAAAGAGCACCACACCCAGGCAGTGTACGCCTTTAAACAGAATCTTAACATGCTTGGTTGAAACAAGTGAGGGTGGCCTTAAGTCTGATATGTGCTCAGGTTTCTTGTACCTACTCTCTATACATCTCACTTATACAGACATGAGCCTTTTTCAGGAAAAAAAAAATCCCATTACCACAGCAACCACCTCTTGCACTCTGGTCAGGC